TGCCGGGTGTGATGGTGCATGCCTGTAATCCCAGCACTTGGGAGGTAGAGGCAGGTGGATCTCTGTGAGTTCAAGGCCAGCCTGGTCTACATAGTTCCAGGACAGCTGGGACTACAGGGAGACCCTGTCCAAAAAAAAAAAAAAAAAAAAAAAAATCATACATTCTAACTCAGTATAACCCAGAGATACACTGATTTGATGCATATTGAGGTATGACAGTAGGAAAGTGTTCTTTGTTTTCTGTAAACCATTATGCTTCCAGAGAGCATAAAAGTTTTTATGTACAGTAAAACACTGCAATTCATAACATATAGTAGTCTGGACTCTAAGCTGAGGTATTCCTGGTAGCACTTGTTGGTGTTGTGTGGTGTGACAGCGTGCACAGTGCAAAGTGTGCACACTGTGTATTCAGAAACCTTTTGGTATTGCCAAATTTTCTGCAACTCCCAAATTCAGTTATATGACTCCATATAGGGTTGTGATCCACATTTTAGAAGCTGTGTTCAAGCCAAGTTTGGTGGCGCACACCTTTAATCTCAGCAGGGAAGCAAAGGCAGGTAGATCTTTGTAAGATAAAGGCCAACTTGGTCTATACAGCAAGTTCCAGGCCAGCTGGAGCTATAGGAAGACTGTGTCTCAAACAAACAGAAAAGGCTGTATTCAATGAAAATGTTGCCCAGAGCAGGCCTCTAAAGGGGTGAAGAGTGGTGAGAACCAGTCAGAGAAGGCAGAAAGCTCTGGTCAGAAGTCGGGCGACAGGAATCTCTATCCATGCCTGACTCCCCGACTAAGAAGCAATAGCACCTACAGTGGAGTGTCACTGACTGTCAGTGGAACCAAGGAGTAAAGTAGCCCATCGCAATACGTGGTGATCCTAGGATTTCCAGAGATGTGGCTGTAGCTGGTGGCTGCAGCTTCACCAGCCCATCCCCCATCTTCCAATAGGGTGCCCCAAGGACACATGGGCCCAGCACCTTTGACCTGCAGATGAAGTTTGTGTGTGGTCAGTGCTGGAGGAATGGGCAGGTGGTGGAGCCTGACAAGGACCTCAAGTATTGCAGTGCCAAGGCCCGGCATTGGTAAGCAGGCACCAGGCAGATGCTCTGGCCAGATGGGGCCCGACCAGTACACCATGGGGGAGGAGGCCAAGACCTAGAGACCAGGGCTCATAAGAGAGGAGAGGAGGTCTCACAGCCCTGAGGCTTCAGCTCCAGCTTTCCCCAATGGCTCCCCTCTCTGACCTGCAGCTGGACCAAGGAGAGACGGGTCCTTCTGGTGATGTCCAAGGCCAAGAGGAAATGGGTGTCGGTGAGGCCACTGCCATCCATTCGCAACTTTCCACAGCAATATGATGTGAGCACTGGGGGTGAGTGGGTGCAGGAGCTGTGGGCTCTGGAGGACTCCTAACTGGCTGGCACAAAGATGAAAGCCTGTTGGACTCAGCAGGCTCTCCTTGGCCTACCCACAGCTCTGCATCCACGCGCAGAATGGTCGCAAGTGCCAGTATGTGGGGAACTGCTCCTTCGCACACAGCCCTGAGGAGAGAGACATGTGGACCTTCATGAAGGAGAACAAGAGTGAGTGGCAGACTTGCCCTGCAGCTCCTCATTGCTAGACACCCCTTGAGTACCTGCCAGTGGCTACTTGTGCTGGGGTGCTTCCCCAGCCTCAACAGGCCCTGCCCCACTCTGGGCTTCCTGTGAATGAGCAGTCCGCTGAGGCCAGGCAACTCAGCAGCACCCCCTAGGATGTCTGTGGCACCCAAGTACATCAAGGATCATGAGTGGCATGCATGGGGAAGCCCCCTCACCAAGCACTCTGTTCCCTGTTCAGTCCTGGATATGCAGCAGACCTATGACATGTGGCTGAAAAAACACAATCCAGGGAAGCCCGGAGAGGGAACCCCCATCAGCTCCCGGGAAGGAGAGAAGCAGATCCAGATGCCCACTGACTACGCCGACATCATGGTAAGCCCTCTTCACATGCTGAGCCTGGGCCAAACGGGAGGGCAGCCTGGAGGGGCTGAGTGGGGCCGAGGTAGGGGAGCAGGCACCCACGCAGCTGTACTCCCAGATGGGCTACCACTGCTGGCTCTGTGGCAAGAACAGCAACAGCAAGAAGCAGTGGCAGCAGCACATCCAGTCTGAGAAGCACAAAGAGAAGGTCTTCACTTCTGACAGTGATACCAGTGGCTGGGCCTACCGCTTCCCCATGGGCGAGTTCCGGCTCTGCGACAGGTGCTGGGGACGGCATGATGGGAGAGCACAGTGGGGTGGGGCGGGGCAGGATGCAGGTGAGCCTGAGGACAGGGATGTTGTGACCAGCTCCAGCTCCTCTCCACCTGGTGTATCTCAGATGTGGGTACAGGGCGTGGGCAGGATGCAAGGGTGGGTTCAGACCTGCCTCAGCCCCTTCTTTTACATCACTGGGTCAGATCCTTAGAGAGTGCCACTGGGTCAGAGGTTCCCTGAACTGGGACCAGAGCTGTCGGGAAGAGGCCCATCTCAGGGACGTTGAGTGGCCTCAGGCGGGAAGGCATAGAGCTTGGGCAGTGAGCACTCTGCCACCCACAGGCTCCAGAAGGGTAAGGCCTGCCCAGACGGGGACAAGTGCCGCTGCGCGCATGGACAAGAAGAACTCAACGAGTGGCTGGACCGGCGTGAGGTGCTGAAGCAAAAGCTGGCCAAGGCCCGAAAGGACATGCTTCTGTGCCCTCGGGATGATGACTTCGGCAAATACAACTTCCTACTGCAAGAAGATGGGGACACTGCTGGTGCCACCCCAGAAGCCCCTGTTGCTGCCACTGCTACCGCTGCCACCACCACTGGAGAATAGGGCCAGGTCTCAGCTCTGGGCAAATCCTGGGGTTGGGGGTGGGTTGGGGACAGAAAGCCTGACAGAATGGCCAGGGAAGGCCAGTTGGGGGTAGGGGACCACTCCATCAGGCAGCCCTCCGTCCCGTGGGACCTTGTCTATCCTTTCCACCCCTACCACCCCAGATATGTGTGCCCAGATCATGTGCTACAGCCCCAAGTGGTCCCAGGGTCCTTGTCCTATAAAAATGGGGGCAGCCCCTCCCCCACCCTGGATCTCCTGGTTGGGGAAGGGAGGGGCCTGGCTGACCCTCCAGCTTCGGCCTATAGCTTTAACTTCTGTCTGCTCCTAAAGGGGGCCCAAAGCTCAGGGCTGGGGAGCCTGGGGTCCCCACTTGAATCTGCAGCAGGAGGGTCCTTCTCCCTGTCTACCTTCCCTTTCTCCCTTTCCCTGCAGGTAGATCAGGACACAGTAGCAGACACAGACAGGAGGTCCCAATGAGCTTTAAAATGCAGTTCTGAGGTAGAACTGGGGACACTGTAATGGTCACTTACCACCTGAGGTTTCAGTTCCCCACTGTCATCGAAAGGGGTAGGGCTGAGCTAGCCATCCGAAGCTGGACTAAGGAGTCTGGGTGTCCTAACAACTACCCCACTCCATCCCTCTGCCTAGCCCTCTCCCCTGTGAGCCACTAGTGTAGACTGTACCTCAGACTTTGGAGTTAATCCAACCCAGTCCCATTTTGCAAAACAGGTCTAGCAGGAGCAGTTTTCCAGCTCCCTGCTGGAGTAGGGCTAGTGAGCAGCTGGAATCTCTGGGCTCCTCAGCCCCCATACAACATCCCTGGGAGCTGGGGATGGGCCAGTCAGAGGAGAGCCCTCCACACCTGAGGATGGTGTGGGGTAATCAGAGGAGGTTCTCCATGTGCATTCCTAGACAGGGTAGCAGAGCTCAGGGCACTGCCAGTTCAGGTTCTCCACAAGTCACAAAGCATGGAGAGGGGTCAGGATGATAGAGAGAACAGGGAGATGACCTTGAGCTCTGTGGTCCACTAGGGGACATAACCCCTCTTTCCTAGGGACTCAGTGTAGCCCTCTCCCAAGACCCATACTGTTATGCTCATTTATCCCAGCCCCACCCCATGTCCAACCCTGCCAGCTGCCTAGGACCCTAGCTGACCCCCAGCCCATGCCCCCACCCACCAAAGCCTCTCCCAGTGTCTGACATATGCCTGTGCACCTCTTCATCCCACACAGCCCCCCATGGGTAGACTCAGCCTGCCCTGGTTCCTTAGACATTCCAGAATGCTCCATGCCATTGGCACAAGGAGTGGGGCACCCCAGGAAAGAACCAGGGACTAAGGCTATTGGGGAGTGAGATGAGAAAATAGACGCCCTGTATTTCTCCCCCAGCCAGGACTGCCAGTACTCTATGACATAATGATGGGCGCCTGGGCATAGAGGACACTATTCCTCATGCCGCTGCTGCCCAAGCTCCCAATAATCATGGCATGCACCCTTTACTCCTCCTCTGCCCCCTTTCCCTGCCCTCAGCAGGCCAGCACCACAGAGTTTGGATGCTGGTGGCATGACTGGAGGGGAGGAGAGACCATACCCAAGGTGGGGGCCGTGGCCGTGAATGTCGATGATTCTTGTTCTCCTGATCCGTGGTGTTGCAGTCTGTCGTCACCAGCCTTGTTTTTAGTGTGTATATATGTCGCCCCTGTGATACATATATACACAGGTATTAAATATATCGCTCTATATAATATTATATATGTGTGTGGTATCCAAGGAATCTCTTCTAATGAGGGCTAAAGATAAAGAATTTAATGAGAATATGCAGTCATCCTTGTGAGCTTTGGGTGTGTTTATCAGGGGTCATCTGGCTATTTAGGAAACCAGGACTGGAGCCATGGCTCAGAGATGATTTGGGCAGAAAGGGCACGATAGCCCACACCTGGGTCCTGCTCTGCCTACAACTTTCCCACATACCCATGTCTAGAAGGACGCACCAGAGTGCTCAGGAAAAGAAAATAATTGGTGTTTGTTTCCCCACCAAAGGAGAAGGGTGAGTCCAGTTTTCCTCTGTTTAGCCTGTTCATCTGTCCAAGGGACCCTGGGATCCAGACTCCCTGGGCTTCCAGACCTGGATCCCCCAACAGGGAAGAGAAGAGGAGAGTGTGAGTCAGGGAGGACCTAGGGTACAAGACAACAAAACACTTTTAATGACGAGTATAGTTCATCCAGATATGACCCCTCCAGGGCCTCTCGCTGGGTTGCTCAGAGAATTAAATCTGGACCTGTACCCAGAGACAAGATGGCATAATGGACATAGAGCTGGGGCAGTGGGGAAGGATGCTGTGTTTCTCGCTGGGCAGTAATCAATCTAATGGTCCTTTAAAAATGTCTGTGTATTAAAAATTTAAGAATACCACACTTTAATATTAAATATCATAAGGTCTAGTATCTTGATAATAATGTAGATGTTTTAATAACAATTTTTGTCCTTCTTAAAATAAAATGAGAGAAACTTGCTTCTTTTAGCTTTTGTTCTAGGAAATAAATGTGTGCACTTTGACCCTTGTCCTGCAGGTGTCACTCCTGTCCCTTGCCACCTATTGCTTGTGCTCAAGAAGCCTGGACTGCCCAGGACTCCTGGGACAGAGCTGGCCCCAGCTGGCTATGCCTCAAGAAGACATTCCAAGGGGTGAGGGGCAGGTGTGTGTACACACAGACCCAGCTGACCCAGCTTAGGCAGCACCTTAGCGACAGGGATAAGCTGTGCTCTGTATAAGTGGCCCCAAGTGCCACCCTTTGCCAGATTTTCCCTTCCTGTGGGACTGCCCAAGGGCCTGTGCCTGCTTTTGCCAGCTTGTTCCGCTTGGGTTCTGTGCCCTTTCTGGGTGCAGCCTGTCCAGGAAGATGAGAGGTTATGCTGTACTTTATAATGTGAACCAGTTTCCTCAACATTTTTT